ATAAATTCCACAGTAACCTATATATTTTATTGTAAATAACGAAACCTAAATATTTCAAAAACCTTATTTTTAGTTTTTTTCTACTCCATCAAATCAATAAATAATAATTTCTTATTTAACATTGGTGGCGAAAGGGGAAGCGAAAGGACCTCCTTAATTGAAAATTAATTCTAATGGTAGGATTCCCCGCTAGACCATTCAGTGTTGGGATTCAATTAACAGTGCTATTCTAAAGTGGCTCTGGGAAACAGTGTCAAGACTTGCACTATGAAATATTAGAGTACTAGCACTCTAACATACACAGAACATAAAACATAAAGTAGTTTAAGTGTTATTTCCATTTTAATTTTATATATAGGTTCATGCCGAATTAGATTGTGGTGTGTTAGTATTGTTTACCACTATTGATCTTTTATTAGTAACTGAATTTGATTAATCCTTTTACTTATTTCATCGTTTGCCAACAATCCCTGTACTGACTCATTACAATGAATGACTATACATATTATGAAAACATCTGCATGACTTACCAAAACATAATTTTTTACTTAAAAATAATATGATATTCAAAAGCAAATATCTTTGTCTAATTTTAATCTATCTTCCTTATCTACCTTTACAATTACGCATTTTTTGTTTAGCACAATTGTCCTTTTATTGTCAACAATACGCTAAACTATTCATATAAAACTGCCTTTGTTCAATTTTCTCAAATGAAACAACTAAGTTCACTGAACCACTTTTTGTATTTGCTGTTTGTTGATACAAAAAATCTTCTAGACATCAGCATCTTGCTCGACTCTTTAAGTCAAGATGACGTCCTTGACTGGCAGATTTGTTTTTAGTTTTTGTTTTCTTCATTAGTAGGTACTACCAAGTTCAACGCACAGGATGTAAATTGTAACGAGATCTCTAGAACCAGTTCCCAAAAAGTTGAGACCGGCAGTATCCAATTAATTTTTAACATACATGAATTTAATTCCTTCATTAACGAGAAATTATAATAACACTATAAAGACTTTTAAAGGCGTCAAAATGAAGTGTAGTTGAAATTTAAACTTATAAACGAAAATAAGAAAAAAATGGTTTTAAATTCTATGTAGGCATCAATTTATCGCACGCGACGAAGTTTAAAAAACGAATCACTTGCGGTTTAAGAGTTCAGAATTAGTACCATAGATAAAATAATAAATAAGATAAATTGTTTAAATGCACGATACTGGTAACAAGTTGTTAGTACCAGTGCACACTACATAATTATAGGCTGATTGACTTGACACTTATATGCAGAATAAGAAACAGAACAGAAAAAAAGAAGCGTAACGCGGTAAATTCAAATAACTTTTAAAATTAAATTAAATTTTTTGGCATTAATTGAACTAAAAAACTAATATTTACATAAATTTAAGTAATAAAACCCCAAAAATTTAAACAAAATATATTTACAAATATCAAATCAAATATTTGAAACATATTTATTAAAAGTAAGGTGCATTCAAACGTTTATTTATATAGATTATGTAGTAAATATTGAATAAAAATTGTAAGTGAAATTAATAATAGTTTCTCCTCATTCTTGGAAAAATGGACCAAATTTTGATACAGGTGTAAGGTGGTTCCAAGTTATTTTTAATCTATCCAAGTTTATAGAAGAACGAACCTCTTTCAGTTTATCTCTTATTATGCAATAGTTGATTTGAATTATATTTTAACTTTAAATTAACAAATCCGTTGTAGTTGATATAATAAATTTGGAGTTTCAAATTTGCTAAAATTTCCATTTAAATAATTAATTTATTTTCTAAACTTGAATGTGTTTTATATACAATTTTCTGGATTTATATTAGTCTGACCTTTCATTTTTAACAGACGAAAAAAGATTATCCTTTAAATTTTGTAATTAATGAATCACTAAAATTTGCAAGCCGCCTCACCAACGGCAAAGTTTCAATTCAAGAAGAGGAAAAATAGAAACATCAATTATATAGAAATTTACAAAAAAAATTACTTTAACTATTAAATTATTTAGTATAGGTTTACTACAATTTATAAAAATATAGCCCAATTGATTAATCTCTTTACTATACAAAATTGTTAAATATCTAAAATTAAAGCATTTGTTAGTACTTGCCAACTTTAGCCAGTAAATGAAAAGAGCAGCAATTCTGAGGTTTGAAAATATCTTCTTTCGAGAAATTGCTGTCAGCAACGAAATGAATTTTCTTGCAAAAAGTATATGCTCTTAAATCATTTTTATAGAATTCTAAAGGAAAAAAAATATTCTGAGTGGTCTAAGGGGTTTTTTTCTTTTTCTAAAACATTTCTTGATATAAATATATTAGAAAAGAAGAAACATGAAATTATATTTCGTTAAGGCTAAAAAACAATGATAAAGTCTGCTGAATTACATTCAACAAATTACATTTATCGTTACACTCAATATTGTATCCAATATACATTAAGCTTTCATTCTCGACTTTTTACTACCCCTGGAGACGTCTCTGTAACCGACACTGTCTTTGTCGATAAGGAAAGTCTCCGACAAATAACTACGTCACAGTCATCTACTTCTCATCCACTTCTCATTGGTCGCGCCGTGGCGTGATGTACTTCTCATTGGCCAACGTTACAAGCGTGACTCTCAAGCACACTTAGCGACTCTCAGAATCAGAGCTTTAGAATAGTGATGGGAAAAATCGGATTATTTTAATAATCGGATTATCAGGTTATGAGTGATTTCAATAATCGGATTATAATTCGAATTAAAAATCAGTTGTCATCCGTCACTCATAATCCCTACTGAATTTTCTAGGCGGAGCCATCACTCACGATTCCTACCGATTATCAGATTATTAACGAAGCTAACCATTATCGATTATTTATTCGAATTAATCACTTGTAAATTATAATCTATGATATTATATCTACTCGTAAACCGTATATCCATTCATAAAATAAAATAACATTTAAAATAAGAAACGACGATTTATCGTAAATCATCGTTGGTGACCGGTTCTGGAGAATTTAGGTTATTTCATCATTCGTCCAAATAATTTGAATTATATTGTCATAATCGGATGATGGCCATTATTTGAAAAATCTGATCATCGGTTATTTTTAATTCGAATTATCCCATCACTACTTCACATACCTTCAAACACATCACAGCGTTTTGCGGTGATAAAAAGGGGACGCTCTGTCCGCCATTATGTAAGATAAACTTTTTCTATATATTAACATGGCTTAGAGTAACAAATTTCCTAGAGAAATGCTATAAATAATGTAAAAAGTGTTTAGTCTTAAGTAAATCATGTATAAATCAAATCATTCCTTTGGTATTTAAAATCATGTTTTCAATCAGAAGGTAGTAATCCTTTAGATTAATCGGCTATTTTTACTTTCTTATCTGTATACAGATAAACAAAGTATATGAATCATGATTTTTTCGACGAATTTTTACGTTTTGGGGTTCCCTGAATCCGTTTTGACTATTTTCGCATGCGCACGTGCGTGCATGCGTGCGTGCGTGTGTGCGTGCGTGCGTGCGTGTCTGTATCCTCATGAACGGATACAAAGTAAAACACCAAATTTTAAACTTAAGCTTTATTTCGGCCTGCGGTGAACTGATAAGATTTTGGGCAGAGTCGGAACATCTGGGGGGTACTTTATGGGGGGTCATTTTTATATTTTATGAAATATATCTGTTATTTACGTTTGGAAAAGAAAATTCTTCAAATAAAAATTACTTCTAATATTATTCTCTATAATTTTTGTTCCATACAAAATTTTCCTAAAATGGTCCGTATTCGAGAAAATTGAGAAAATGTAAAAAAAATTAATTTTGTATGAAAATAGTTTAAATAAAAGTTGTTTGTGATATAATTCTCTATAATTCTTGTTTCATACATAGTTTGTCTAAAATGGACTGTATTCGAGATATTTGAGAAAAAATGTAAATTTGGAATTTTGAATAAAACTCAAAAACGGATAAAAAAACATTAAATTTTAAAGTTTAGCTTTACACCGGCCTGAGGTGAACTGATTAGAAAATTGGGCAAAGTAGGAACATCTGGCGGGGTACTTTATAGGAGATCGTTTTTATATTTTATGGAATATATCTGTTATTTATGTTTGGAGAAAATTATTCGAATAAAATTTACTTCTAATATTATTCTCTATAATTTTTGTTTCATACAAAATTTTCCTAAAATGGTCTGTATTTGAGAAATTTGACAAAATGTGCAAAATTCTGATTTTTAAGAAAATTGTTAAACTAAAAGTTGTTCGAAATCGATATCGATCTCTATAATTTTTTGTTTTTTAGATGATTTCTCTAAAATGGACCATAATGGAAAAATTGGAGGAAAAGTGTAAAATTTAAATTTTTCATTATTTTATGAATTAATTTATATAGAAAAATGTTTCGAGTTAGATGTATATGGAAAATGTATATATTTAGTTTATCCTCTAAACATTTACAGAGGTGCTACAATAGGTTGTACAAATTAACCGGAAAAGCCTGTATTACCTAGATAGGAAAGTCATGTGTTGGACACATGAGATTTTTTATAAATATATTTATCTAAAAATATGGATGGTTTAATGCACATCGTGAAAATACGGACATTCCAACGTCAATATTAATTTAAATATTTTAAAATGAAAAAGTGCAAAAACTTTGATGACGTTTTTCTCGACAAAAAGCACATGCGGCTTTCTTTCTTAGAACGGCAGTATATTAATCGTCAAAATATGAAACGTTTTCTTTTCCCTATTTAACCGACATATATTGTGGGATTTACTAGATCTCTATATACGCAAATAAAATCCAAGCCACCCTGTATACAACCCACTTTGCGGACAACCAATAGATTTATATTTTTTATAACATAAATACTAATCAGGATATTATAATGTGGGTATCGCTAATTTCTTATATTTTTTTATTTTGTTTATTTAAATTCGATTTTTATACTAATAATATTCATTTCTTGTTTCAGACTGGCGAGGGTGGTATTATATTAATACCAGGCGCAACTATTCTAGAATCTTTCACCGACGAAGACGAGGAACTCCTCCGCTCCTTGGAGGGTCCTCCAAGTCCTTGTGATGTTACTTTCATTAACGATAACATTCTTATTGATGGAAAATCTAGTCTTATTCAAAAATCTAAACGGGCGAAGGTAAGTCATTATTATTTATTAATTATTGACACTTGAAAGCGTAGTTCATTAGACTCGAAACTAATTTTAAACCTCTTTTAACAATACCTATAACTTATTTTTTATAAGCCTAGATCAAACTATTTCTAGAACGATGATATAAGTATTCGTATGTTTCGCTTATCCAGATTTCAGATTTAAAAAATCTTAAAGTCATGTTGTTGATATCAGTTATCTTTAAATATCAATAAAACAAATAAATGGGTGGGAATAAACAGAAAGTAAACAAAGATTACTTAAACTAAAGTAAACTGATATAGGAAATGACCAACATCACATATGTGACTCAAAGAAAACAATTGCAAATAACTGCAAAAACGAGTCAGTCATAATACTAAAAACCATTAGCCATTAGTAATATGATCCAACATCCAACAGGAAATCCATGACTTGGACGGGCTTTTTTTCACGATCCATTTCTGTTCTAAGCATTTCACATTGTGTCTAGTGTAGACCCACGCGTCTTTAACCTAAAATAGGAAATACATACCCTACCCAGCCTATATTGGGTTTCGAACAAAATATTATGCGTCATGTATTTAAAAAAGATTTGTTTCAATATTTCTATGTAGTATGTATTGATCACAGATAAATAAATGATATGGAAAATAACCAGGTAAAGTGTTATTTGTACATTATCACTGTCAAAATTTTGAAATTTATTTAGCCAAGCTGGGTGGTGTGAATTCTGGAAAATAAAGAATAATGAGTAAGTAAAGAGTAATTAGTGAAGATGTAAAATGAGGTTATATATATTTTCAAAATTGTATTCATTTAAACACGTTAAAAAGTATTATGTTATATACCTTGTAAACTACATTTTTACGACTTGAAAACAATATTTAACAAAATTAAAAAATTGTAAGTATGTCAAATTAAATGACAGAATAGTTTGTTTTTGTTAAAAGTTACAATGGAACACAAATTACACCACACTAATATAGCGTATTTGAGTGTTGTTTTTGGTTTTTTGAGGTTTTTGGTTTGTCATTCCCAAATTTTTATGCTATATGGTTTTTTCATTAAAAAAAAAGGAGGTTATATACCTATATTTTCAAAATTGTATTCATTTAAACACGTTAAAAATTATTATGTTAAATACATTGTAAACTACATTTTTACGTCTTGAAAACAATATTTAACAGAACTAAAAACGTGTAAGTATGTCAAATTAAATGACAGAATGGTTTGTTTTTGTTAAAAGTTAACTGTCAATGGAACACAAATCACACTAATATAGCGTATTTGAGTGTTGTTTTTGGTTTTTTGAGGTTCTTGGATTCATTCCCAAAATTTCATGCTATATGGTTTTTTCATTAAAATTTTTAGTGAAGAAGCAGAACCAGAGAGAGAGAGAGAGCAGAGAGAAAGCTTAGCAGCTCAGTTTGTGCAAGGGTTTGGTATTATCCCAATTTCCAAGTTTGTTTTTTTTTTTTTTAATTTTGGGACAAGAAAAAATGTACAGTGCGGGTCTAAAGTGACTCCCCCCCCCCCATTTATTATTTGAACCGTAAAAGTTAGAAATTTGAAATTTTGGGAAACTGAACTAAGGAATGTATACTACCTTTTCAATGATATTAGATGATGTAATCATTAAAAATGACGGACGGGAGCCGGTTTGAAAGATAATTTTAAATGGGATCATATGACAAGTGATACATTATGTGATACATTATCATAATTAAAATTTTACTCATAATGAATCATTTGCTTTAAATTTTCAACTGGCGTACTACACATTTTTAACCTTTTTCACTGTACTATACTCGTTTAAAATCGAAGTTTTTTATGGTTTCATATCTCAATTATTATTAATTACGGTTCAAAAAATAAATGTGGGGACTGTAGGTAAATATTAAATATGTGCCCCTTAAGAAAATGGTTAAAAAAGTCAAATATTGTTTAAAAAAAATGGCTGCAGAGGAGCCTAAATTTAACCTTTACCAATACGTGCAATTTTAGAAAAAATTTGCTATAAGTATTAAAAAAATATGCAGAGCAGAGCACCGCGGTTTTTTTAAGTTTTTTTTTTTAACCACATCACATTTTAGGTTATTTTTAGGCTATTTTTAGACTTAAATAAAATATTATAAAAGATTCCGAAAAATTTATTTTCCAAAAATACGGGTTGCTTTGTTGGCTTCAAACGAACCAGCAGAGCATCTGGTCTTTAAGTTTTTTGTTTTTTCTAAAAAAAACTATCCCACATTTTTAGGTTTCTTAAAACATAAAACATTTTTATAAAAATACGGGAGGGTGCTTTGCTAGCATCAAACTAACCAGCAATTAGTTCATTTTTTAATGTTTTTTAAAGATAACTATACCACATCTTTAGGTTATTTTTAGGCTTTTAAAATATTATAAAATATTCCCAGAAAATTTGGTATTTTTTAAAAATACGGGTGCTAATTTTGAGTGCTTTTTCGAGGTTTTCTGTAAAAACAACAACGTCATATTTTTGGGATATTTCTAGATTCTTGAAATAAAACATTCCGGAAAAAAATTCTATTTTTAAAAAAATACGGGCATATAAATAGCCTTAAAATAGCTTTTTATAAAGCCTTAAAATAGTCTTAAAATAGCCTCAAAATATGGCATTACGTGATATGGCATAGATTTCAAAAGTACCTAGGTGCTTTGCTGCATTTTTTCGTATTTTTAACACTCTGTCCTCATTTTTCTTCATTTTAAATACAAACATGGAAAACAAATTTTTTCGTCCGTGCGTATGTACGAAAGCTGCAATCGACTTGCGGTTTTGATTTTCTTGGATAATTTCTTCTAACTTAGAACCCTATTGATTTTTAGAATTCATAGTTAAACTTAACCACTTTAAATATCAATGTTTTTAAAATCGAATGCATTTCTTATGGAGCTAATTTTATGCATTCCAACATAGTGAAATCAGACTATATGGATGACTGTGCTTGGTAACTGTGAAACTACAGTATTTATTTTTTATATTGCTGTCACTCGTAAATCTCAAATTTTTTGAACGTCAATTAAAAGATTTTATTTGAGTAGTGAAAATTAAATAAATTTGGATCTTACGCGAATAACATAAAGGATGATGAAATAACAATAATTTTTGCACGATCTTTAACGATTTTCAGAATAGAACTCATATCTAAATTTAATATACGCTATATTAGTGGAACGTAATTTGTGTTTCACTGACAGTTTACTTTCAATAAAAACAAACTATATTGCCATTGAAATTGATACGTTTTTAGTTTTTTTTTATATTTTATTTGCAGATCGTAAAAAAGTCGTTTAAAGCTATGTAACCAAATTATATTTAATATTTAAATAAATAGTAAAAATAAATTGTTAATGAACCTCTGTTTTTAGTCACTTCCATTGGAACACAAATTACGTCATCACTAAGACTAAAAAGAGAAAAAGCCCAAATATTATTTTTGCATGGACTAGTATTAGCTAAGGGGTAATAGAAATTCACTTTACAAAAGTAAACTTTATTAATCAATAATGGTTGAACAGCTAATAATGAATGTATCAATGCCGGTCTATATTTCCCTTTCTTGATTGTTAAAACTGCATCTGTCCATTTATCGAAATATTAGAATATCTTGTGTCAGCGAAAGACGCACCGCATCCAAAAATACTACAGGGAGTGTCTAGCAAATATTTATGTAATAAATACTGGAAGCTAACATCCGGCCATCATGGATGTGAACCTTGTCCTCAAGGTATATCTGATGTATGAATATCTGGAATAATAATAATTTATCACCATACAAATATTAATTTTTTTTTTGTTGACTTTAGGTAGCGAGTACTGAAAACATTTTCACTTGATAGACTTTTTACAGTACTATGCCTGAAAATATTTTTACCTGATAGACCTTCTATAGTACTATGCCTGAAAACATTTTTACCTGACAGTGTTTCAGAAACGAGATTCTACACTATGCCTGAAAACATGTTTACCTGATAGTATTCTGGAGATGATATTCTACAATACTATGTCTGAAAATGATTTCACCTGATAGACTCTTTACAGTACTATGTCTGAAAACATTTTCACCTGATGATAGTATTTTAGTGTGAGATTCTACAGTACTATGCTTGAAAACGATTTCACCTGATAGACTCTTTACAGTACTATGTCTGAAAACATTTTCACCTGATAGTGTTTTAGAAACGAGACTCTACAGTACTATCCCTGAAAACATTTTCACGTGATAGCCTTTTTGCAGTGCTATGTCTGAAAATTTTCCACCTGATAGTGTTTTAGAAATGGGTCCTCTACAGTACTATGCCTGAAAACATTTTCATCTGATAGCCTTTTTGCAGTGCTATGTCTGAAAACATTTCCACCTGATAGTGTTTTAGAGATATTTATTTCCATGGAACTGTTTTTCTTGAGTTTTTCATCTTCAGAAACCTTGTTCATCGTCAGTATTTTTTTTTAACTCAGTTCTACAGTACTAATTTTGTAACCACCGTATTTAATTACTATACATTATTTTTATTTACATCTACAACATCGTCAACACCGCACTGTTATGTAACGCCAGTCTGTAGCGAAAACTGATTTGCTCTTAGTGTTGGAAGCACCCCAATTTCCATTAGTTTTTTTTTTATCTGATAACCTTACTCTTTCAAATTTGGTCAGGATTATCTTGAAATTTTTTTTAACCCCTTGATTTTCTAGATTTTCATAATAGGCCTCTACAATTTTCTTTCGATTCTGTAGAGCTAGTTGAAACTAGAAACAGAGCTACTGCCTGAACTACTTGAATTACGATGTTTTCTTTTAATTTTCGGCATTTTGACAAAAATTTTAACACAACTTTAATTCATAACAGAAACTATTCGAACATCACAATACCACGCAACAAAAGATTCTTTATCCCAACTTCTGATATTAGCTAAGGGGTAATAGAAATTCACTTTACAAAAGTAAACTTTATTAATCAATAATGGTTGAACAGCTA